TATGGCACTTTGTGTCTACAAGCCCATTCGGCGTCGGTGACAGCCAAGTGAACAAGTTCTTCCACGAGTATTGGGGAAAAGAATAAATTGTGTCGCACATGGGTCATTGGAGAAGTTGGAATCAGAACTTTGCCACTTGGAAATGACCTTCAGTCTGGGCAGTTGGTAAATGTGAAATGATTTAGAAAAAACATCTGGCAGTTATTTTTTCCTAACGCTGTAATGTAAATAACGGAGTCTGCTTCTTGGTGTTTCTTTGTATATCTGGCTGCACTTAACACTTGTTACAAGTAAGACCTGAAGCTCCAAGGTTCAGTATAAAGATGGGAAAACAGTTAACTATGCGAGTGGTGGGAAAACCATACTGGAAAGGACTAATCCTGAATGTTTGAAAATATTCATAAGGGGAAGACTTAACATGTAGACATTCCGTCCTTGAGAACCATTTGGCCACAGTGGGGTTAAGAATCACGCCTGTGTTTAGTTAGATTGCATTGGCCTGGACTGCCCTGGTTGCAAAGCAGTGTCAGCTCCAGGGAACTTAGGCCATCACTCCTCATGCCACATTGGGCTCTGCACTCGCGTGCCCCCCGAGTTCAGGGTCACATCAGCTAGGCCTGTGACCAGGAGCAGCCTGGGGCTGGAAGGCTCGGAGTTGGGCTGGAAATGTTACTGGTTGGCCCATCTGAAAAAGCGCTTCATCCTGCTGAGGCACATGGATCTCCCAGGGGCTGCACTCAAGCCTTCCCAGCCCCTGGCCTCAAACTTGTGTCAGCTTTTCAGATTTGGAATCTAAAAGAAGCTCAGCAGGAGCCCTTTTTACCCCTGGGTGGGCAGGTCCTCAACCCACAGAAGTGTGTGTTCCTGGTAGGAGGCTGAGTGGCAGCTGGATGTGTGTTTACACAGATTTCATCTCAACCTTGAAAATGCTATTTTGCACTGTTGAAAAGATACTTTTGTACTTACAAAGTGGTTATCGGTATTTATTTTAAAGGTGCTAGGCTTAATTTTGTTATTAAACTGAAATGCTTGTCTTGTATTCCAGTCACTGCACTGATGTTTTTTTTTTTTTTTAACAACCCACACCGAATGTGAAATAATGTGGGATACTGTAACTGTTAGACTTAAGGATTTTGTGTGTAACCCTAACATTGAGCCTCTGAACTGTTCACTGTTCTGTGCTTTTGAGCAAAGTGTCAATTAAAATTAAAGTAAAATCTTACGTGCTGTTTGACTCCTAGTGATTATTTTCTAAGCGTCTGAAATGCAGGTGTGTGTTTGCATCTGATCTACTCAGGGAAGCTCCATGAAGTTGCATTTTAAAGTTTGTATGTGAAGTAAGACAGTTGCCCCAAGACAAGGTATTATTTCGGGAGACTGAGCCGTAAGTCCTCTCTCAGGCCGGGCCAGGGGTCTGAAGACCTGGATTTGTGTCCCTGCTTCTCCAGAGCCTCGGTTTTTTCCATCTGCAAAGTGGTGCTGTACACACCTTATCTTTCTTAATTATGATGAAGATCAAACACTGTGAAACCAGTACCGACAAGGGTGGGGTCACCACCTTTGGCCTGTCCCATAAAAAACAGGGTTATTGATGGACTGCAGGGAGGAGCAGGTGGGATTCTGAGAGGCTGGCAGTGACAGCTAAGTCCCAGGAGGTTACATCCCCACCTCATCTGGAACGCCATCTTTGGATACACTGCCTAAAAAATTCTTGGCATTTTTAGGACTTTAGAGGGAAACAGTAAAACCTTGGTAGGCCCCTTAACCAACCTGATAAACTGCCCTTTGCTCAGTAATCACTAGGCAGCTTACAGTAGAATCATGTTCCAGTTTTCTGAAACAACCTTGCAATAGTTACTCCATGTACAAATCCAAAACCCAGCCTACGTCTTCATTTCAACAATACCATCTGTTCAGCATGAAATTTCAAGCTAAAGTCAGACAGAGTAATCTTTGTAGAAAGAGGCTTAGTACAGAGATGAGTAAGGATACAAACAATTCTGGGAGACAGAACACAGAACTCTACTGAACTTTTATGCACCAGGACTGACCACTAGTACTTTTCAAGTGGCATTATTTCCTTTACCTGCATCTCTGGGAATACGGGGTGGGGAGGCAGCCTAAGCCTCCTGAATTGAACTGTGCTCGGAATACCTACTGTGTACCCAAATGAACATATTCACTTCATTTATACCAATCATAAAAATGGCTTATCTTAATCAACTTTAAAATTGAGATTAATAAATATGTAAGTGCTACTTGGGATTTGGGGTCTCTGGAAGTCTTACTAATATTTTTTTCAGCTGGACCTCAATCTGAAATCCACACATTTCCAGACGTGGGCCTAGTTTAGACTTTGAACCCCATCAATTAACTGCACTGAGAATCGTCCCGTGAGGCGGCTGTCTTGCAGCTCGTGTTCCTTGAGGTCTTTGGCATTCAGCAGGAAGCCGGTGGGTACAGTGAGTCTGTCTGTCTCTTTCTGGTCATTATGTGGAGCGGACTTCGCTTCCTTGAGAAGCAGACACCTCATGTTACATAGTGTGTCGAGCTTGCTCGTGGAGCAGAATGTCTAAAGCACTTTGTTATACTTAGTTCCTGGCACTGTCTTCCATGCAGAAGTGGTTCAGTTTCCTGCTGGTATTGAACTGCCTAAGCTTTAATGAACCTAAAGGTGAAGAGACTTAGTTTTTTCATTAAGTAATCCACAGGTATTGCATCTCTTGGCCTAAGGCGATGGAGTTTTCTTCATAGTGCCCCACTGGCTCAGAGTATTGTCTACTTTCCCTCAAAGCAAAGCAGCTCCTTCACATCTTCCTGGAAATAACAAGCCTCGTTTCTGGAGCCCAAATGTTTTTCACTGGTCACTGTCTCCATTTGCATTTTTATGTGTGTTTTTTTTAAGATTTTACTTATTTGAGAGAGAAATAGCACAAGCAGGGGGTAAGGGCAGGGGGAGAGGAAGAAGCAGGTTCCCCGCTGAGCAAGGATCCTGATACAGGGACTCGGTCCCAGGACCCTGGGATCATGACCTGGACCAGAGGCAGACGCTTACCCGACAGCCACTCAGGTGCCCACCGCGCCCCCCCCCCCGTTTTTTAATACCAACATAACTGGGTGTAGGCTAAATCTGGAAGCCCAATTACCTGCCCTTCTACGAACAGCCTCACCGAGCACTTCCACCTCAGAGGGGAGCATCTTCAGTCCCACGAGCGCCCTGGTGTTGGCGTGGCTTCCTGGACTCCACAAGAGCCAGACCACCTCCTGCAGGACGACGGCAGTGTCTCCCGGCAGCCCCAGCGCTGACTGGCTTTTAGTTTCCGTGTGAAACGAGTAGCGTGGGGCGTGCGGACTGTACGACCCTGGGTGGGAAGGCCGAGAGGAGCAGGTCACCTTTGAAACAGACGCCGAGCGTCACGAGCCATTTGCCCTGTGCCAGTCGCACACACAAAACAGGAAGTGTGGGGACATTCAGCCACTGGAGAAACCACGTGGAAAGGAAAAAAGACCCCAAGGCTGGCTAGGATACTGTATGAGCACCCTGCCGGGAAGCAGTCTTTATTTGCATTTTCAGAGAGTGAACACATAGATGGAAAACGCTGCAACTGACTGACACAAGGCTCGGTCCCTTTTGAACCGACTTCCCGGGGAGTCGTCTTCCTCAGGAAGCAGGACAATGGAATGCAAACACGGATATTACTGAGATTCAGCTCAGTAAGCGATGCGGCCTGACTGCAGCCGTTCCCAACACGCGTCTTCACTCCGGGTGAACACGGAGTCAACGGAACACCGAGCTGCGTGTCTGAAACACGCGTGACGCCGCGGGATCCTGGCCTTGTGTGCGCAACAGAAGGAATTCGGGTGGGACTGTGACAAAAACGGCAGGCGGTTGTGTGCAATCCAAGCACGATTCTCTGTGACCGAGAGCATTTTGCTGGCAACGCTAACTGCAACGCAGTTTCTGTCTCTCTCCCTATCCTGAAAGCAGCGCAGCAGAGAGGAGACAGACGCAGAGCTGAGGAGGCCATTGTGACCAGGTTATGTCAGTGCAGCCCGTGGGGACGAAGAGACGGGCCAGAGGGAGGGCCCCCTCAGCTCTCCTCCCTGGGGTTCTTCTGCGTGGTGTGCGGTGGTGCTTTACAGAAGGGTCAGATAAACTGGTTAAACTACTAAGGTATCCAAAAAAGGCCTGAGAAGATCTGGTGAAAATGTATACCCTTGTATTGCTACCGATGGGGGTAGTTGTTTTTATATCTTTTAAAAATAATAAAAAGATTCTGTTACAAAATATATTTATCCAGAAAAATGTTGAACTCTAAAAAGCAATGCGGAATCCTCATTTTCCCTTTTGAATACGGAGCTATTGAGTTCCGCTCGTAGCTCCACTCTGAACTGCAAGGCCACCCCTTCCTCTCTAGTGAGCTTAGGCCTGGAGCGGGGTCTCCCTTGGCCTCCCCACGGCAGTCTGTCCTAGGGAAGGCACGGAACACACTTGGTTTGGTTCCGAGATGTCCAGGGATTTGGCCAGCCTGCCTCAGGCTCTTCTCCTTGCTCCTTTGGGGCCAGGATTAGCTGCCTTGGATTTAGCCTGGAGGATCCTGCTCTCAAAGGAGCTGCCTTTAGAAATTCAAATCAGACCCCTCAGTGTGGAGTGAGGTGGTTTGAAACTACTGGTAATTTTTAAGGCTAAGGCAACATCCGTGGTCATTTGTATATCCTGATGTGATGCTGCAAATAGTTAAGCCTAATCTAAACCACAGCCTGTACATGTCTCCTCTGGAACTCTGGCTGGGGGTGGGAGGGAGCAATAAGGTGGAGATGGAGGAGGAGCAGGGATAGTGTCCTAGAAACCCGGTATAAAGGTAAAAACAAAGGACTAGATCTGCACGGATGATCCGTTTCTTTGGTGAACTGTGAAGAAGTGTCTCATAAATTCTCATAAACCACGCCCTACAAAGGCTGCTGCTGTCATATATAAAAGCACCCTGACTCTGCAGTAACTTGTTATCACTCCTTGATAAAAATTAATCTACAAACTTGCGGGGATTGGGGTTTTTGTCTAAAGCTGGTAGTAAAAACGTGACCTGCAAGCCAACACAGCCAATGGAAAGTGCCGATGCTATCCTCCCCTTAGCCTGGAGATGGGGCCTGAGGGTCCCCAGCCCCTCCCCGGGGGAGTGTCGGGGATGGGCCTGGGAGCCCCTGGTCTGGCACCTCTGTGGAAAGGAAGGGCAGCTGCTGTGGGCCGCATCCATGCGAGGTGCAGTCCCTCGGCCCCGGGGCACTGGCAACGCCGCACTTGCATGCAGCCCAGAACCTCTGCTTTGTGCAGCCCGTGAGCAGGAAGGTCTATTTCTCAGTGAGAGACAGCTGTAAGACTTGCTGGAGCTCCTCCTCCTCCTCCCGGAGCCGGAGCTCCCGCTCCTCCAGCTCTTTGGCAGAGAGCTCCATGGCCAGCTGCAAGTCGCTATCAAAACGGCTCATCTCACTTGAGGCCCCGGGGCCCAGGCCTTCTGAGCTGGTGAGGAGGCTCTCCTGGATGGCCCTGTGCGGGGAAAAGAGGCAGAAAAAAGAAACCGATGACCAGCATCATCAGGGCAGCGGCAGCATCTACATTTAACTGCCTCCCGAGAGCACAGCGTGCCGGGCACTTTATATGCGCCCCACGGGCACGTTGCCATTCAATCCCCTATAACCCTGGAGACGCGGGTGCTGTGTACACGTGAGAAACCTGAGGCTCAAGACAGGCGAACAAAGCTGCCCACGATCACCCAGCTGCTAGGTGATGAGGTCAGGAACTGAATTTGGATCTGTTTTAAAGCAAAACCTATGTTTTCCCTTCAGTAGGCTTTCACAGATGCCTGGAGTAGCTGAAAATACTCCATAAAACACGTCTTTGCGTCTTTATCCCCTCCTTTAAAAAGATACTCTACTCATCTCCAGATCTATTCCCCAAAGCCTCCTCATTCTTAAAATCGTATATACTTTTCACACTGAGGACATCTAGACCCTGTGCAAGTATACATTCTTTGTAGAAGATCAGACCACTGAAAAAGCATTTACTGGGTGCCTGTCTGCCAATGGCACTGGCCTGTGAGCTAGTCAACAACCGTATCAACACTAAGTGCCTGTGTCGGCCTCAGTTTCATCCTTAAGAGTCACGCCAGTCACCTCTCATACTGGGCGTCATAGGCATGTGTCTGGCTGATCCCTCCATTCGAAGCTGGTCCTGAAAGTTCCTGCGAAGAACAAACATGATGGACGTGAAGCCCTCCTGGAAGGAATAGGCGTCATACCAATAAGGAGATGAAAGGAGCAAGAACAAAATTTTAAATGTTTCCATGTCCATGCCAGATAACACCGCGTGAAAAATGAATAGGGACTTGGGCGATCTCAAAACCGACACCTAAGTGTCAGGTAGAATGTGGTACACTACCCTGCCTAACGGCCACAGCCTCTCACACTTGACCCAGAATCTGTCCAGAACAGCCCCGGGCAAAGTTTAAAGGAACAAGGAGGTCATTCTTGTAAAGCAAGATGACAATACATAATGCAACATTTGTTGTCTTTGACTTTGGCCCTTCCCCTCTGCAAAATTTATGGTCAGCAAGGTTTATGCAGTTATCGGGGGGTGGGGGGAATAAGCTAACTTACAGAAGGGGCAAGAAGGCGCACTGGAGGGACAGTGAGGTCCGGTAGCTGAGCTTCTCCCAAAGGGAATATGCTGGCTCTGGGTGCGGCCGTTGGCCCAGCAGCCTCAGAAAACTGAATCGTTCAAAGAATGGATCGATGAGGAATGGAGGAGGGGATGGGCGCACGTTGTCCAGCCTCAGTGTTTCAAGAACAAAACCAGGATGCCAAAAACCTGAGCTTGGACGCCGGAGTGTGGGTACCACTGTCAAAGCTTAGGGGGCCTGTGAGTGCAGGGGCTGGGGCTGCTTCACCAAAGAATCCCCACTCTGCAAACATGTGCCGAACGAGCGATGGAAGGAAACAAGAAACCAAGGAACAAACAGCAGAGCCCAGGACATCGGAAGGTGGGGGACACACAAAGAGCCCCCACCCCAGCAGAATCGGGAAGCCACAGGAGGGCAGGGATGGAAGGAGTTGACGTTGGGGGAGGAGGAGCTCAGGCTCTGCACGGTCCCAGGCAGGTGACACCGGAGGAAGAACCACCTGAGGAGACCAAGGGCAGCTGTTCCTACCCTGGTCTGCCCTACTCTTAGCTCTACCCTTCGCTCGAGACTCTTGACAGTTTGGGATTACATCCTTGCAACAGAATAAAACACAGGAGTAAAAAACAAACTTAACAGAGAACCAACCACCATTTTCATCCCACACTGAGCAACCACAACACAGTGACTGGTTTTCCTTTGGGAGGAAGCTGGGATTCAAATCCACATGCCTTCTTACAAGACGGCCGACACGTGGACAATATTCCAGAAAAAAACAGGATGGTGTACGCTAGCGTGGACCTACGATTTCAGTACTGGCAGATCAGACAGCACGCTCCGAAAAACACGTGACTGTGGGCTGCGTGGGTGAACTAAGGAGAAGGAAAGTCTGTTGGGAGACATCCTGTGAATGATGCTGACTGGGGCTGTGCACATGGTGTCACATAAGAAGCTTTTGGGAAAGACCAGGTGCAGAAAATAGAATCTCTGTAAACACTGTGAATATGCCCAACTTGTGATGTACAGGGAGTCTCACAAGTCAGCTACAACTTGAACCCTCCCATGCCCTGCCGTCTGTCCCGCCAAGTGCACCTGGCTCCTGCTGGACTCCAGTAAACTCTGCTGGATGGCAAACTGCATTATCTCATAATCTTCGTCTTGTAAATGTACATTTCTGCCATCGTCTTGAACGTGGTAAGAGTCTGGAATTTCAAATACAGACTGATCCACCTCAAAGTTTGCAACCTGGGAAGCTGAGACACAAAGGGTAACAGGTCCGGTGCCAGAATCAGCAAAATAAACTTCCACTTCAAACTTAGAATTTAAAATTTATAAAAATTTGTTTGATTAAAAAGCAAAAGGATTAAAATGATTAAAATCAAGGTTTGCTACTATGTGAGAGAGATTTTGAGGAACAATAACCTTGACAGAGAAAGGTACCAAAATACTGCCTTTTTCTTTTGGTCTTGGGGTTTTTTTTGTTTGTTTTTTTAGTAATAAAATTAACTCATGGTCATAAAAAAATAAAGATCTCTCTCCCTACACCCTTTCTCTTATCTCCAAAGTCCAGAGGTAACCAGTATTTCCTTGTATGTCTTTTGAGAAATGCGATGTATGTACACAGTCACACCAAGGTCTCTCTGTATTTTTCCCTTTTTTATTATGAAATACAGTAAACATGTAAAAGAAAGTGTCTGTAAATTAAATAAAATAAAAATGATAATAAAATGGGGCACCTGGGTGGCTCAGTCAGTTGGGCATCCGACTCTTGGTTTCGGCTCAGGTCATGATCTTGGGGTCATGGAATCAAGTTCCACATTGAGCCCCACGTCGGGCTCCATGCTCAGCATGGAGTCTACTTGAGCTTCTCTCTCTCCCTCTATCCTTCCCTGCTACCTGCTCATACATGCTCTCCCTTCCCTCTCTTTCAAAAAATAGTAATAAAACACAGGACACCTGGATGGCTCAGTCATTGGGCGTCTGCCTTCAGCTCAGGTCATGTTCCCAGGGTCCTGGGATCGAGCCCCGCGTCGGGCTCCCTGCTCCGCGGGAAGCCTGCTTCTCCCTCTCCCACTCCCCCTGCATGTGTTCCTGCTCTCGCTATATCTCTGTCAAATAAATAAATAAATAAAATCTTTAAAAAATAATAATAAAACAAATAAATGCCTGTGTATCCTTCAACTAGTCCAAGATACAGAACAGCATTTTACCACAGTAAAACAAACAACTAAAAAAAATTCAGTTGTTTCTATATATTACCAACGAGTAACGGGAAAACAAGTAAATAATCCACTTAGAGTAGCATCCAAAACATAATTTGGATGGATGGCGAGGGAGCCTGAGGAAATTTTGTGGGGTGATAGAAATGCTCTACATCTTGATTGTGGTGGTGGTTACGTGGGCACACACATTTGTCGAAATGCACTGAACTATCGCACTGAAAGCAAGAGCATTTTATTATATATTCAGTACACCTCAATAAAGCTGGTTTTTAAAACTATGCCATTTTTTTTCAATGGGTCATACTCTTTTTTTTTAATATTTTATTTATTTATTTATTTGAGAGAGAGAATGAGAGAGAAAGAGCATGAGAGGGGGGAGGGTCAGAGGGAGAAGCAGGCTCCCCACTGAGCAGGGAGCCCGACGTGGGACTTGATCCCAGGACTCCAGGATCATGACCTGAGCCTAAGGCAGTCGCTTAACCAACTGAGCCACCCAGGCGCCCCAAGTGGGGTCATATTCTACAAGTTGTTTTTACACTGACCCTAAACAAAATCTAAAATTTTTTCATTCAGTGCAGAAATCTACTTCATAAGATACTCCAATGTCAAACTGAATAATTAGTACATTAACTGGATGTGTGTGTGTGTGTTTAAACCGCAAAGCCCAACTTTTTTTTTTTTACCTGAATCAGGCTGGGTCCCTTCCACGTTTTGAGATCCAGTTTCTTCAGCAGTGCTACAGCCGTTAACATTTCCAAATGTAATCCGTGCATTTAAGACATGAAACAAGGGAATTTCTAACAAAATAAAAGCTTTTATAAATAAACTTTACAAGAATAGCCACTGTTTACTGAGTGCCTACTGTGCTAGTACCATGTCAAAAACATTAACCTAACTATCCTTCCCAATATACAGATGGGAAAACAGATTCAGAGAGGTTAAGCAGCTTTTCCTAGATCCCAGTGAATAAGTGATCAAGTCCACACTGAAAAATGTGTTGCAAATACGCAACTATACAAATTCTAAATTCCTCACAAGTTCTATGTATTGTGTATGGGATTATGCATTCCCTAAAACATGCAGGCCCTAAAACATACTTACATATCAAAGAATCTTGGTGTCAGTGGTCTCCCTCAAAAACAATCTAATTTGTTGCTTAAGTTTGACATGAAAATAATGAATGTGTCACATTTTTATGCCTTTTTACATCTGTTAGCACCATTTGTAAATAGAACTGATGATTGGGGGATCTCTTAATTTTGATATGGAAAGTGAACTAAAAACCACAACACTTTTTTCTTTTATAGATTTGTTTATTTGAGAGAGTAAGCTAGAGAAAGAAAGCACAAGCAGGGAGGAGAGGGAGAAGCAGGCTCCCCTCTGAGCAGAGAGCCCGATGTGGGGCTTGATCCCAGGACCCTGAGATCGTGATCTGAGCCGAAGGCAGATGCTCAACCGACTGAGCCACCCAGGCGCCCCAACAACACTTCTTTAAACCATATTAAGCTAAAGGATCATTGTGACCTCCTCCATTATATCTACTATCTGCTGCTTTTGCCTAAAATGTTCCAGTGCCAGGGCACCTGGGTGGCTCAGTAGGTTAAGCGTCTGCCTTTGGCTCAGGTCATGATCCCAGGGGCCTGGGATAGAGTCCCACTTCGGGCTCCTCGCTCAGCGGGAAGCCTGCTTCTCCCTCTCCCTGCCCCCCACTTGTGCTCTCTCTTGCTCTCTCTCAAATAAATAAAATCTTAAAAAAAAAAAAAAAAATGTTTCAGTGCCCTGAAGCACATTCTGTCACCCACAGAAACAGGCAGAACCTGCAGGTGCTCCTGTGGTTTAGTAGGCAGTACCTATTTTGACAGGAAATCCAGGTGGGAATTCCAGTTTGATGAAATCTCTCAGCCGTGCAAAATGAGCGCTGGTTCGGGCCATGAGGTCAATGATGGGAATGACCTGCTCCACAAGAGAGAGTGGGAAGTCCTCACACATCCACAGCATCGCTTTAAACCTGCAAGACGGACCAAGACAAGAGTGAGGCCGTTGCCCCCAGACAGGAAAACTGAATGACTCCTATGCAGCCGGTAGACAGCACCAGCCTCCTCCTTACTGCAGCCTTCCCAGCCACCGTACTTCTCTTATTGTGGAGCGGGGAAGGGACTAGACCCGTGAATTCAGATGACCATGCGATCTGGCCATCAGGAGATATGCCCTGCACGCTGACCTCACCCTGCAGCAGCCAGAATTGACAGCAAGCGTGAAAGAATTGATAGCTGGTAGATCATGCCTTTGGATCAGCTGAAGCTTGCTGGCAGTAAAAAATGCAAGGAATTCTTATATCCCATCTCAACTCCATTTGGAGAAGGGCTAAGAAGAAAGTGGGCAACCTGCTATTTGCTTTTCTCAGATAAAATAACTTCCAAATTATGTTTAATGGAAAGGGACAGAAAAATGACAACACGACCCCAAGAAACAGCACAACTTCTGAAACAAGAATCTGTGCGGCCACTGAGTCTTACTTTTGCGTTCTAATCGTCAGCTCTTTCGGCCTTCCAATGTCCCGGTCCTTCAAATCAAACTCTTCATTAAAGTACTCCTCAGGCGTGATGGCCGTGGGGTTGTTGGCGGTGGCACATTCCGTAGTGAGGTCCTGCTGAGCCAGAACTCAGGGGAATCAGAAATGCCAAGTGGTGCTCACAAGTGGAGGCCTACGGCACTCAGCCTCTGAGGTGGATGCATTAACCAGCTACAGATCAGGAAGTTCTAGTCACCCCCCACCTTTTTTTTTAACCAAGTTACTGCACAGAACAAGAAAATCTACAAAGGTGTGAGGAAAGGACACAGGAAACCTAACGGGTCTCTCCATGTCAAACATTTCCCCACTCTCTTTAGCATTTATATCTCCTGACTGTAAAAAAGAAAAAAAAGAGAAATAGCCGAAAGCACGTAAGATCTGGGAGACCTGGAGTTTATGTTCCAGCTCTGTCAGGCTCTCGCTCGGGACACCGGAAAAGGAATCTTATTTTTCTGACCCTCTGACAGCCATTATATTAACTCCACATAGTTCTCGTAAGGATCAAGTAAGAAAATGTTAAGGTGCTCAGTTAAAATACAAAGTCCTGAATCCTTTTTAAGTTTACAGATGAGAAAGCACCTAATTTCCATAGTCACGATCCTCCTCTAAAATCTTTATTTGTGAGACTCTCTATTTCTCTTCCAAAAGAGTATCTCAGATTTCAGCTTGGGAGTGCTCTTCAGCCTTGCAGACAAAGAGGCCTGGTCAGATTCAGTAAATGCCATCACAGCACAGAAAAGTCATGTCCTTTCGTGAACGTGAGAGCTCGCTGCTTCCACTTACCCCTTGAGCACCAAACTGGTGTTCCACAGTTCCCAGCAAAGATTCCAGCGGGTTCCTGTCTGCTACAGAGGGGGGTGGGGTGGAAAGTTTAATGTCTAACATTATACCTTACTTGTGACTGCAGAAAGAGATTCTCATCCTATTTTAAAGTTCTGGATCCCAGCTACCTACATTAGGAAGTCCATTTATGGGCAGACTGGTAAAATCATCTACAATAACCATCAGCTAATTTACCCTTACAGAATATTTTTTATTAGGGTCTCTAACCTAGATTAGCAACAGTTACAAGAACTAAAGCAGAAAGAGTTTGGGTTTGGGAGTGAGCCTGGGGGGGCCACAGAGTCCTCATCTGCCAAAACGGAGTCCTAGTAACAGCGCTGGTGGTGGTGGAGGCGGCCAGCAATGACCATATGCTTGCCGCACTCTGCCGGAAGCTACCAAAGGTTAGTTAGCGTGAGGCAACTCATCCCATCCTCCCAAGCACTGCCATCTCACTGCTGATGAACCTGAGCCACAGGCCACTGGTGGGGCTGAGATATAAACACCACGTATCGGCAGTGTTTGGGCTCAGAGCCCAGGTTCTGTCCAGATCTTTCATGGTGCGAGTTTGGACAGAATCGCTCATTCCAGCAAGAACTAGTCTCCAATACCCTTATCTACCTTTTTGGTCAGATCCAGCAATTGTTCTTCAGAAGACAAAAACAAACCCTCCTGTGTGGCTTTAATTCCACTTGAAGCCAACTATGGGTAACACCTTCAAGAATGGGCCAGACTAAGGACATTTTTGTAAAAAGGAAGTTAGGGTTAGGATGAGCCTGACCTGACCACATTCACCCCAAAACTTAACGAAGCCAACAAAGGGTCTGTCTCTCTCTCTCTAGGCTAAACAAAAGAGGGAGGATTACCTTTATATCTCTTTTTTTCTTCCTCAGTCAGATGTTCTGTCCGGATTTTGGTTATCACACTCACATTGTTTACTGTGTAAACCTTGAGAGATGTGTGCAAAAGAAAACAGTGACACAGGGAATCAAAACTCAAAAAATAAGCATAGCAAGAGCAAGAATGCTGAAGCCAAAAAATAAAAAGAAAGAAAAAAAAGAAAATTTCAGCAAAATAAAAATGAGAAATGGTTGACAATCATTAGGATCCTTCAGAGAAAATATATAAGCTATCAACTTAGAAATGCATCAGCAGTTAATTTGCATCTCTGACAGTTTTAAATACCGAGGAGTGAAAAGGGATGGCTGCATCTTCCCGCCTGCCCTTTGTGTTGCTAAATACCCTCAAACAAAGGTCCTGATATTTAGGTCTCCCAGCTGGATTCCTATCATGCTATCCTATCGTGCTATTCCTACCCCAAAGCTGCATCATGGGCTTCTGTACTTATCTGTGGTGATCTTATAACAGGACTGACTTAGACAGCCATCTGCTGGGCAGAAGGAAAACAGAACGAACACGAGGTTCTCTATACCCATAAAAGAGGAAACCAGCACTATTTAAAAAGCTATGCCATCTACGGACAAAATTTATTCTCACCACCAGAGTCAGGGCTCTGTTCTCAAGGCCGCCTGAGGAATGTGGGGGTCTGGAAGATCGAATCTCACGGTAAGCAGAATTAACTGTATGTGCCATACGTGGATTCCCCACGATCAGAGACTCGAGGAAGCCCACACAGCACTGGAGCGACTGTGTCTAAATGCGTCCCGCGAAGCATGATGTAAGTGTCTTTGCCCACTCAGAGGTCACCAGAGGATCCTGCGGTGCCTGGCTCCGGCATCAGGAGCCAGCAATCCCTGCTGGACTGCAGGGCTATGGAAAAGCCAGCAAGCAGAGTGCTCCAGCTGACAAGACGCCGGAGGACCCGACTGACAGCTGTCTCCACTCTTGACAACTGTATTCTTAATGTACTGATGTCATGTGAGTGGGCTGTCAAGCCGCTGGTTACAATTAGACTGACTATGAAAATGGAGGCTCATTAAAGCTACTTTTTTTCTTTAAACCCACTCAGGTTATAAAAAAGATCGACATGCAGGTTTGAGTCTAATCCTTTCTTTTCCTCCTTAAAGAATTAAAGGAACAGTCACTGCTATGGGGACGACTGGCACCCGGACTCACTTCTCTACACCACTGTTTCTCTTTGGCATACTAGGGGCCTCCTCGGGATGTGCTATTCTATTTTCTGAACGTCAGATAAGATACAAATCCAAGTGAGAGATGCTAAGCAGTACTTTATTCCCCAGAGCATCTCCATGGCACAGAGGCATGAAAAAATCTGAACAGACTCCTCATTTGCATAGAAGCTAAATAGCTATATTAAATCTTATTTAAGAGTTTCCTTTTACCTTTGCTTCGTAACCATTAACAACTTCTGCTTTATCTGTCCTCCAGCCCCAGAATCCGGATTTAGTTCTGATAAAAAGTGAACACCACAAATTTCTACATGTACAATATGCCATTCAGATTTATCCCTGCAGCCTTTATAGTTTATTTCCCCCAGCTTAAAGTGGTGAAGGACACTTGATGATTATGGTCCTATTGTCCACAAAACGATGCTCTTGGTGACAGATGGCTTAAGGATCCCCACCCCCTCCCCCGGTTATTAATCAACTGGCCTCACCCCTGGCACAGAAAGCCTCCGTTCTTGGCTTCTTTACAAAAACTGCCAGCATAGGCAACAAAGGTGGGGACATTCACTGGACAGCTGTCCTAAAGACATGAATGAAGAGAACCAGCGTCCAAGGGCTCGCTACGAGGTGGTATCTGGGTCAGAGCATTTATCTGGATCATTGTAACCGTGGGCATGGACGTCAGCGGCTCTGTCCCCATGAGCGGCTGCATCTCAATCGAGGAATTCTTAGAACAACGGGGCAGACCGTCCTGCTCCTCAGGAGAGAGCGGGCGGGGCAGGAACTCATCACTGTGGCAAGCCACTTGGAGAAGCCATTAATGCCTGCAAAACGGCTTGGGAGTCACATGTTTTATCAGGTCTGGTGCAGCAGAGGAAAGGATGTTCTGTTAAAAGCAGTTTTTCAGCCCAGGCATTCATTCCAGGTCTGTGGAACTGCTTTTAAAGTAGCCCAGCATTGCAGTGGCAGCTACGGCGTTGGTAAAGTGCCTGAAAACCCAGTTATTCCACTCAACATACTCCTGGGAAGAAATGCATTTAGAGCCCAGAGCGGCCAAGAGGCTCTGGTTCATTTTCAAAGCAGCTCACCCTGGGAAATACCACCACTCACAGGGGAGCCCTGACCAGCCTGGTCTGCCCTTTTGTCTAGGACATCACATCCTAGCTCCGCTGTGACTGCTGCACTTGGCCCCACAGAGAACAACAGCTTGCCCTCTGCTCTGACCCCAGAGGCAAGTGGGGCATCACGCAGGAAGCTCCGGGAACTGGACGGTTAGCCAACCCACAAAGAAGATACAGGTCATTTGCATCTCATGTTTCCAGACAGCTTCATTAGTCCAGATGGGGTATGCAGGGTTTTATGTGTACGTTACAGCCCATCAGAGAAAGGAGGGACCAGAACTTTACCTTTCCGATTAGTCGTCCACAATTAGGCAGCATGACCCATGGAGGGAGAGAGAGAGAAACCCTAAAGGAATTACACCAGATGCTAGCTATCTCCACTTCACATTTCAGAAACAAACCCGAAATCCGGGGGGGGCAAGGGGTTAGGGTCCCCACTGATTCATAAACCAGAGTCCCCTCTGAGTCATCAATAACTGAAAATCGAGAGAGTCCTTTTAGTTAATAGGTTCAGTCCTCAGTTCCTTGTCTTTCACCAAGTCACTTGATATTTTGGCCTGGGAGGGAACTGTTTTCTGGCAGACAGTCTTCCGAGGTACCAAAGGATGACTCCGTCTGCTCTCCTTCATCCTGCGGGCCTGCTGGGGAGACGGAGCTGCGCGGCTCTCCCTGGGGACCGCTGTGCAGCCCACTGCTCTGCATCTGCTCGGCTGGCAACCCTAGCTGCTGCACCCCCCTTTCCAGCCCTGCTCTGACAGCTTGCTGATTAAATTCAGCGACCTAATTTAAAACCAAAATTCTAATAACTCCTTGGCCCTTGATCAACATCACATGCAGAGGCATCTGAAAATGACAGGAGGACACCCAGCTCCCCCTCTTGCCATTTTCACCTCTGCCCGTGTCCGCCGAGACTGCCACACCAGGAGCCACTGGGCCAGCGCTGTGGCCTGGAGGCTGCTGAGCCATTCAGAGAAAGGCTCTGAGAGTGGCAGGGAACGTTCTGTTTCAGGCTAGCAGAGCCTAATCTTTCAGAGAAGAGACAAACCCAGACTGAGGCCAGAGGGTACACACTGGCAGGCCGAAAACTCACGCAGGAAGCAAGCCTCAGGCTCTCCGTAACAGATCAGAGGAAAGAGATGGGCGAGAATGACTATCACAAGAGAGCACCCCTTCCCGATTCAATCAAACACACAGTCCCACCTCCAGTAGGAAGGACGTGTGCACACCTTTTCTACCACTCAAGTGGCTCAATCCTTGCTTGATGCACAAGAAACTCACTGACCACATATCTAATTCCGAGCACCACCATAAAAAGCAGCCGTCTACCAGAAACCCTGTCTCTGAGACCCACTGTCAGTTGCAAGAGGCGGCTAGCTTGAACCTTCTTAAGACCTCGTGGCCATACGAATACCAGATACACCTTAGTCCTCCATACAAATGGAACGTGCCATCACATACCATCTACCCTCCGCAGGGCAGCCGCCAGTAACTGGCGTGCCCTTTGTAAGTTACACTTAAGAACACTGACTACAGTAACTGCCAATGAATCAGGGAATAGCAGCTCTTCTCATGACATCTTAGGGTCGTGGGGACTTCAGCAACGTCCTCTCGAGATTCATTCCTTTGTTTCTTTCAAGGACACGGGAACCCGGAGAGACCAAGCCACCTCCCCAAAGCCACACAGTCATTCAGCGGCCCTGCCAGTGGCACTCAGTTCTTCCCACTCCCGTCTCCACAGCTGGGCCACAGCGGTGACAGCAGGCTCCTCTATTCCCAGCTTTAGCAAAAGAGCCCTAGCTGAAGGTGCTCTCCCTGTCTGCAGAGGTGTGTGCCAAGCTTTAAGGGTCTTCCCAAGACCCTCTCAGGTAAAGCCACAGAGAGTCCCTGGTAGACAGCCATCACCTGGCAAGGCTGGCGATGGGGGACTGACCCTGCCTCACAGGGGTACCACTACCCAAGCAGCAGCAGTATCAGGACACCACACTGACTGGTATTTGGGTTTTCTCTTCTGCTACTAACAGATGTCCTAATTCCACTGCTCTATCTAAATTAGAAGAAAAGGGCACTTCAGTCTTACATTTGAGTCAACAGAAAATTCTCAGTCTTAAGAACTAATTTTATGGCAACAAAGAAAAGAAAAAGAGAGGAAAGTTAGTATATTCATTTAGAGTAAAGAAAGCCTAAATCCAGGATAATATGTATCCACATTAGCTCAGGCTATGCTGCTTTGGTTTACATAGAGTTGGATGTGACATCCTAGGCAAACACTCAGGGCTCTTGCAGACTCCCTCAGCTCAGTGTGTTCTGAGGTAAAAACACTCAGGCCAATAGCTCTGACGCCTCTACTTCCCCTACACTCAAAAGCTCTCCATGCCTCTGCAAGGCCCAGAGGCAGATGACCAGAGACACTGTTCTCCTCCTGGTTAACCAAGGCACAAACCTCTCCAGAAGTTTCTTCTTGTAGAATCTGGAATAGAACTGAAAACTCCTCCAGACTCTTGCTCTAAACTATTAGGCCTCACAGGGGGAAAGGACCACATTAAAACTATATGGTAAGTGTGAATTTGACTAATAGTAGTACAACCACAATCAATACTGGGTCAGTTCTAGCTTCCAGAAACTCAAAGCTCCATGGTTTGGGACTAGGGAATCTTGTGGATCCCCAAACACCAAAACAAAAAATTCAAATAAAATCCGATAGAAAGGAAAAGAATATGAAGACATTTCTCCAAGATATAACCAATGTGCTATAAAAATGATCTATGAAAGATGTCAGCTATGGCTTCTACTTGGTTAGAACAGAAAGCAACGTTAAAACCCACTACTGTTTATTATGCCATATTAGAAAAATCCCAATCCACCCGTAATTTCCGATTCATATCTACATGCCACTAAGGATGGCAGTAAAGGGATTAGACGTTAAAATGCAGAACCTAAATGCGTACCTTTCAAAAGCAATATTTTTAGTATCGAGGCTGGTGTTAATGACTGGGCTTGTGAGCCGCCTCTCAACTTCCCTGCCTTTTGGCTTCATCAAGTCCAGAGTGAGGCGCTCCATTTCCTGGGAAAGGTCAAAGTGCTCAGTGGTGACCACTCTGTCATCGTGGTTGACTTCCATCAGCTCCGCCCGGTTGTCTGTTAATGCGAACAAGAACATAACTAAGCGCCACGCAAGGAAGACACAAAAACAAGGAAGCCTCAAAAGTTAAAATGCATCGTCTTTCACATTTTCCTCCCCAAGTGCTATCAGATAAAACCCAAAGACTATTGATTATTGACTACCTACTTACACGGGGATTATCTGGCCAGTTTCCACAGCCCAAAGGCCATCTTCCCCAGAGCTGCACACATTTAAAACAATTTGCCTTCTTCATTGGCAATACATCTGTGTACTTTTTAAAATATATGGTTTATATAATTCTTGTAAATTGTTTATGCACAACGCTGGGCTGGCAATACCATTTTTCTCACCCTCCATTTGGAGGATCACGCCTGCTTATGGAGGGAATGTAAGGAGATACAAGACAGAGTGTCAAACTCAAACGCTCAGGAATGTGGGACAGACACATGTCAAAAGGGTAACAGAGTTGGGTGGTAGGTAAATGAAACGGGCAAGAGAATTAAGAGAACTATCCAAAAAAGAAATAAATTGAGGAATTGGGAGCTGAAAAGTTAACAAGAATGACCAAAAAAGGAAAAGAAAAAAAAAAAAAGCCCCAGAGAGGGTCAGATAAAGCATAAGAATGCGAACACATTTTGATGGTTAAAAATCACTCTAACTTGAAAACAGAATAGAATCACTCACCTTCTCCCTTAAATATAAAACTACGCCTCCCTCTTATCCAGCTCATGTTCTCAAATCCCAGCAATGTGATATCCACACGTAGTTTGGCACCACTTTTCCAAATGCGACAGATGTCATTCGGGCATATTCTAGAAACCAAGGGCACTAGAGAAGAGAAACATACTACTGAGAAACAACCTGAGGGCCAAGCAGAACACACAGGCCCAGGAAATCAGGAGTGGGACTTTAATAAAAGAAGAGCAGTGGCATGACGGTGACCATCAGACAGAACTGGGCTTGGCTCCCACACTGAGGATCCAGGAAGTCATTTCTAAAAAATAAAAGTGGACCTTCTGTTCTATAGCTCTTTATAAAAGGGCAGGTTTATGTCTCATTCAGAGAAAACTCTAAATGACTCTCCCAAGGGTAGTCTCAATCCCAAAACTGAACCTCTCTCTGTAACCGTTGACCACCATCAGGGTTATGGAGCGTGTCCGTCTGGACTTCTCGCTCACATCTGCTGCTCCAGCCGCGTGGTCATGGCCTGCCTGCCACATTGCCACATCCACCCTTCAAAATATGAGACCTAAAACAGCTAAGATCTGCAGCTGCTTCACCTGAGTGTATTGGCGTTGGAAAAGAACTCATAAGGTTTCCAGAAGAACCTGAAGTTCTCTTCTGTTACATACTTTTTACTTCATTTAAATGTTTCATTACAAATATGACTTCTTGCCTGATAGAGAAGTCAGAGTGAAATGGCTGGGAACCTGGGAATTAAGAGCTGTCATTAACTGATCTACAAGGAATAAAATTGGAACATCTATGAAAATTACTGTCAGTCAATTTGCCTTACAGAAGATTTTAGAGAAATACATCCATTTTGTAAAACACCAAGCTATCCCGACATTTGTCTCTTCTTCCTTAAAACAAGTTTAAACAAAGCAAGTTGAACCACATAAGGAAATGAGGAATAAATTATGATAAATCTACCTACTAAAATTTTAGCTTTTTAAAGTGATGTTTTAAAAAAACTAATAATATAGACAGGTATCAGCTCTAAGTGACAAAAGCAGGAGACAAAATTGTCTATATATTATATTTACAGATGCTCGGGAGAAAAATCCCTATACATGGAGGAAAAAACTAGAAGGAAAATATCCAAAGCATTAACAGTAGTTGCGCTCAAGTGGGATTATAGGTGACTGTTTTTCCTTATTCTTTTCTATGCAACTGAGATTAAAAATATATATATATTCAATTTTTATAAAGCAAAAATAAACTTATATTCAGGCTTGGTAAATGTGGAAACAAATAAATTACAAGCCCAGAGCCACTCACCCCAGCTGGTGAATTCCCATTTCATCTGCACATAGAAATCCGGAGCCTGAAGGACAAAGATTTATAGTAAATGACCCTTAGCACTATTAACTGAACACAAACATGGTAAGGGTTAATGAGGTTTTAAAGGGGGAGAAGGAGGAAAGAACACAGAAAATAAGAAACATAAAATGCAAACCCATCACAGTAAATGTTTATTTTATATGCAGGCTGTTATTTTATCTCGATATAAAATATGTCTAGACAGTTAATAAAGTTAACTGAGAGCAACAAGGTTAGACAGGGATAAAATCAAATCTGATTTAGGACTCAGTCTGGTTCCTAACAGTCGCAGAAAGATTAGCCTGGAAGGTGAGCCTAAGCACTGCCATGCAATGTGGGTAACAGGCTATTCTGAACAAAAAGAAAGAAACATCAATTCCATCTATTCTATGGGGGAGCTCGACTGTAACAGGTTTTGTGTGCTGGAAGTGCTTCATATTTACTGGATCTCGAAACCAGAAGAGGCTGCCAGACATCACCTCCCCAGGAAGCTGATGTTCCCTCCAGTTAACAGACTTTTGCCCTTATTTTCCTCTTCAATTTTTAGAATTTGACTTTATAAAAGTTTACACCACCAGAGCAGCCCTGTTTAGGACGACTTTCTGACCTGCCCCAAATCCTTACAGAAGGTTCTTGGAGGGCTCACTTAAGAAATCCAACAGTTACCATCCAATAAGAGAAATACTAGAAATTCCAGGTGTTGTTCTGTTCCCTGCCTCCCCCGCAGCCCCCGCCACGGTTTTCTCGTGGTTTTTACAGAAGCACAGGAAAGGAAGACCAAGAATCTACCCTAGAATGAAACCAGGATTCCAGTGATGGACAAAAGGCTCTCCAAGGGGCAGCAGATAAGAAGGGGGGGCTTGTTTTAAGGAGAAAATGTTGAAAGACAAAACGTGAGCGTCAGAACAATATATTTTTTAAAAAGAGAGCTCAGATAATGAGCAGTGATTGTCTTACAGCAAAGTTGTTCCTTTTCTCAATAGAGCTGTTAATTTTTCTCAAGAAACATGTTGACTAAAGTGTAAAGCAGATTTATCTAGCAAATATCTTTGGAGATATTTTGGGAAGCTCACTTAGGTGCTTAAGAATAAATGACACGAAAATTGAAGCATGGTACTTTCTTGTCTCCCGTGGCCCTGAGAACATTGCACGATTGGCTCATAAGATGGTTCTTGCAGGTAACAGAGACTTTCTGGAGAATGGCAACCATCATGCAAAATAGTCCATGAGCCTACAAGTAAATTCTCATAAAAATGACTCCAAGTGTCACAGAGTCCATACACTTTAATTCACAGATAGATAACTGTCTTCACTGGCCCAAAGCCAATGGCTGTAAATAAACTAAGCCAATAGATTAGAAGTCACGAAATGCTAATGGCTAGAGTCAACACAAGTGGCAAGGAGAAGGTGCATACACACTTCAGAGCCTCAGCAGGCCCTGGAAATCTCTGTACAGTGACCAATGCTCATCACAATTTCCTCAAGATGACCTATGGTCAGGGGTGCCTGGATGGCTCAGTCGGGTAAGTGTCCGACTCTTGATTTCGGCTCAGGTCATGATCTCTGGGTTGTGAGATTGAGCCCTGTCTCAGGCTTCACACTGGGTGTGGGGCCTGCTGAAGATTCTTTCTCCCTCTGCCCCTCCCCCACCCCCTGCCCTCACTCGCATGTGTGCACTCTCTCTCTCAAAAAAAAAAGATGACCTATGGGGGCGCCTGGGTGGCTCAGTTGGTTAAGTCACTGCCTTCAGCTCAGGTCATGATCCCGGAGTCCCGGGATCGAGTACCACATCGGGCTCCCTGCTCAGCGGGAAGTCTGCTTCTCCCTCTGACCCTCCCCCTCTCATGCTCTCTCTAATAAATAAAAATCTTTAACAACAACAACAAAAAGACCTATTTCAGAAGGCCGCTGTTAAGAAAACAGGCACCTAGACAAATTGTTTGATGTCCATTTGTCTTAAGTTATAATTTTTAAGCAGCACTTGAAAGGACAGGTCTAGGGGCGCCTGGGTGGCTCAGTTGGTGAAGCGACTGCCTTCGGCTCAGGTCATGATCCCGGGGTCCTGGGATTGAACCCCGCATCAGGCTCCCTGCTTGGCTAGAAGCCTGCTTCTCCCTCTCCCACTCCCCCTGCTTGTGTTCCCTCTCACGCTGTCTCTCTCTCTCTCTCTCTCTCTGTCAATTAAATAAATAAATAAAATCTTTAAAAAAAAAAAAAGAAAGGATAGGTCTAGTGATACAGAAACGTAATCGGTGAAAGACCTCATACGTCTAATAGATAAGGAATAATGCTCTTTGGTACTAAACATATTGTATTTACAATTCATTAAACTCTTAGGAAGGTACAAGTGGATGTCTAACCATGTCTCCAGCTCTGTTGTCAGCATTTAACTCAAATTATGGCATTGCCACATTTTTTTGGATACCTCAAGAATCTTCTGGAGCAGCTCAGGAACTCCTTCAAGGGCCATGGATGTGTTGTGGTAGTCCCGATGTTGAAGAATGGTGTACACCATCTCGGGGTCACCGGTGCTCACAGCCTCATGTAAAACTGGAAACCAAGGAGGTGAAACTTCATCACCCAGTAGTCTCAGACTCTGACAAACTCCTAAGCTAGTTTGAAAAGAGTCTGTAGATCAAAGACCAACATTTTCTTCAAAGAGGGGGAGAGGCTACATCCCACCTTACTTTTATGACCATGATTGCTATCGCTAGCTCTTAACTGAGTGAAAAGAAAATACAGCGCTTGTAGCCTCTCGAGCAAACCAACTTCCATCCTCCCCCCGCACCCCCTCTCTTACCACTGGTTCTGAAATCCTGACAGTGTCTTCAGAGAGCAGGCTTTACCTGTGTGATCACACAACCGTGGTTACATGTGGATCGGGCAGGTAGGGCTTAGGTGTATCTTTGCTCAGCCAACACAGAATTACTCTGACCAACAAATAGTTCATTGCTTGCAAGCAAGTGAAGTGCCTGGATTTCACCGGAAAAGGCTACTTTTAGCCATAATTTCGTTTTGCTTTTGCCTATCCCGACAGATTCACTGGAGTTACCATCACATTCCTCAGGAGGAATCTGGCCTCCATACTCATATGTGGTGGAAGGGTTTGAACTGAGAGCTGCTTTCTGGATAGGAGTCGCCCTTCACTGAGGGCTTCTGGCCAGGACACAGTTTGGACCATTGTGCTGCAGGCCCGCATCTCCTCGCCCCGGCCCCTACTCCCAGGAGAGAAAGAGTCTTAAGAAAAAGATAACTTGAGGACAATTATAATTGAGACTGGCCTTTATTCAGAAAGAGATACCGAAACAAAAGGCTTTCAGATATTTTAAAAGCATACTTGCCTGTCCATCCCTCACGATTTTCTTTTGTAACATCTGCTTTATGTCGGAGCAAGACTCTAGCAGATTCCAAATGTCCCAAAGAAACAGCAAGGTGCAATAAGGTTCGACCTCGTGGATCCAGAGCCTCCACATTCTGTTAAGGAAACACTGGCATTTATAAGATTGGTATATATTATATCAAAACATGGAAATGTGTGTGAGAGATAAAATTTAGTATAAAGTGGAAAATTACACATTAATTACAACACTATATGGAAGAAAGAATGCTTGCGTGTGGGAGTGGTTGAAATATTAATTTGAGGGCTATAATAAAGATGATCGCTACTGAGTTCCTTTTTCTATAAAGTGAAGTGCCCAATAAGTTAACGTGGACTGTAGGCCTCGATCATCAGGCAGGTCTTATGCTCACAACAGCACTCAAATGAAGTCTAAATAGGGCTAGGGGCTTTCATGAATGCAACCACCGTGTGACACCGAACATGGGGGATTTCTCAAGCGTATATCAGCATCCAGGTCTAGACCAGGAAGTGGAGGACTTTAAGCAAAACTCAAAGTACAGAAGGTCATTTGGGTCAGAATAAAATCACATTCTCTAGCTGGATCCCCCCCAGAACGCCACTCTCATTACTGTGTATGGAGTTCTGAGCACCATGAAGCAGCAGCATCCACAGGTCCTGCAATGAACGTGATCCTCCAGACGTGGATGTGGACATGTTTCTAGGTAAATGTGAGAACAAACACATGCCACTGTGGTCTCTTTCCCCTCGAAGGTTTTCTTCCCCATGCTGGGCAGAGCCATTTGGCTTCTACTCTTCATTCGTATCCCGGCCCTCCTTCCGCCACCTTTACTGGGTGGAGAGCCAAGTGGCAGTTTCTCTGGTGGTGTGAGCCCAGTCTGAATGACCGAATGCTGCCTTCCAAACAGGATTTTGAACGTTCTTCCAAGGACACAAGAAACTACCATGGGACTTCTGGGATGTAAAACGTTTTAAGTGCTCAAATACTTCTCAGGAAATGTGCTTTTATCTTGATTTGAGATGCTAGTTGTTGTGCAGGCTTTAACTGCAGCCTCCAAAGATATCCAGAATGTTCCACTTACTGGCCACAGGGAAGAAAGGTAAGCAGAGCTAAATAGCTACTGCCCAACAGCTACTGAACCTCCCTGTTTTGCAAAGTGCATCATGGCTGGCACGCAGTGAAGACAGGAACTGTTCTCGAGGAATGACAGCGGTGGCCGAAGACATTCTGCTAAGCGAGCACATGTCCTCCTGGACCAATCCCAGGCCTCAGCGTTCTCTCCGGCGCTGGAATACCAACACATCTCCTGGAATGGGGCCCACACCACCTCCCGGGATTCCCTGGCTTTCCCCAAGGGTATGGCTTTTGTCTCTCTCACTAGAGACACTGATATTCTTCCAAAGGGCCGGATCTAAGTCTCGTATTTCCTAGCTTCCTCCACCCTGGTCTCTAATCTGCAGTAAACCATTGTTTTTAAAACAGTAATCCAGCTAAAGATTGAAGTTTAGCAAGAGAGAAATAATTAGCAAATTCATTGCCTCTTTACTTATCTGTTACATAAACTGTTTCCTCCCCTAACAAATTCAGTTTAAGGGAAAGGTGCTGGGTTTAGCACACTGCCTGATATAGAGGAGATGTTTAACAATACTTGTCACACAAAAAAGGGAAATTTTATTTAATGTAATTCACACCCCAAAACAAAACATCTCAGACCAAGGACTGACACTCAAGCTCCTGGGCAACCACTAGAAATGATGTGTAAAATCAAAGCCAAATACATTAAGTAGCTGACTTTTTCCTAGTTTGGACCACAGGGAAAAAAAGTACGAATGAGCCAGACAGCAGCACATTTTGCAATGCTGATTGTAGCTCTTCAGAGCCTCCTGCACCTCTTTCTCATGTGAAAAGAGAGAAGGGAGGAAAAATACTGTATTATGGTGACTGGGATTAAAAATAGCAGATGATTAAAGTGGAAATCAGCAAAACAGAGAACAGCAAATCAATACAGAAAAATCAACAAAACGAAAAATTTGTTCTTGATAAATATCAACAAAATGATAAACTTTCAGCTAGATTGACCAGGAAAGAAAGAGAGAACACTCCAGTTACCAAAAGCGGGAATGAAAGAAGGGATATCACTACCAACTCTACAGAAATACAAAGTGTTTAAAAGGAATACTGTGGGGCGCCCGGGTGGCTCAGTCGGTTAAGCGTCTGCCTTCGGGTCAGGTCATGACCCCGAGGTCCTGGGATCGAGTCCCGCATCGGGCTCCCTGCTCAGCGGGAAGTCTGCTTCTCCCTCTGACCCTCCTCCCATTTGTTCTCTCAATCTCTCTCTTTCTCTCTCAAATAAATAAAATCTTTAAAAAAAAAAAAAGGAATACTGTGAACTGTATGCCAACAGACTTAAACGAAAGGCACATATTCCTAGACAGACGTAAACTAGCAAAACTGACTTAAGAAAAAACAGAAAATCTGAATAAATTTGTAACAAGAGATTGAATCAGTAATTTTTAAACTTTAAAAAATGCTCAGGCCCAGATGGCTTCACTGGTGAATTCTGCCAAACATTCAAAGAACTAATATCAATTCTTCACAAACTTCCAAAAATAAAAAAAATAGAAGATAAAGGAAAAATTCCCAACTCGTTTTATGAGCCCAGTATTATCCTGAAAACAAACACATTACCAAAGAAAGAAAACCACAGACCAATACCTCTAATGAATACAGGTGCAAAATCCTCAACAATATATTAGCAAAACAAATTTAGCAACCCATAAAAAGGATTATTAAACACCAGGACCAAGTAAGATTTATCTCAAATGCAAAGGTGGTTTAACATCTGATAATTAATAACACAGCATATTAATAGAATAAAATAAAATAACACATGATTATCTCAATAGATGCAGGCTGTGGTCTAACTGTAGTCTACATTCTTTTTTTTTTTTTAAAGATTTTTTATTTATTTATTTTACACAGAGAGAGACACAGCAAGAGCAGGAACACAAGCCGGGGGAGTGGGAGAGGGAGAAGCAGGCTTCCCCGCGGAGCAGGGAGCCCGATGCGGGGCTCGATCCCAGGACCCTGGGATTATGACCTGAGCCGAAGGCAGCCGCTTAACCGACTGAGCCACCCAGGCGCCCCACTGTAGTCTACATTCTTATGTTGAAATCCTAACTTTCAAAGATGATGGTAAAGTGGGGCCTTTGCGGGGGGCGCTTAGGTCATGAGTGTGAGGCTCTCATGAATGGAGTTAGTGTCTTAATAAAAGAGGTCCCAGAGAGCTCGCCAGACCCACTTTCACCATGTGAGGACACAGCTGGAAAGCTCCTGCTATGAACCAGGAAGAGAGCCCTCTCCAGCCACCACACTAAATCTTCCAGCACTATTATGTTGGATTTAGAGCCTCCTGAACTTTAAGAAATAAATTTCTATTGTTTATAAACTACCCAGTCTATGGTATTTTGTTACAGAGGCCCAAACAAGGCTCAGACAATGGAGAAAAAGCATTTGACAAAATCCAACACCCCCGATACAAAATAAAAATAAAAATAAACAGGAAACACTCAACAAACTAGAAATAGAAGGGAATTTCCTCAAAGAGCACCCAATTATGAACACCCACAGCTAACATTATCTTAATGGTGAAAGACTGGATGCCTTCCCCCTAAGATAAGGAAAAAGACAAGGATGTTCTCTTCTATTCAGTACCGTACTAGACGTTCTAACCAGGGCAATATGGCAAGAAAAAGAAAGAAAAGGCATCCAGATTAGAAAGGAAGAAGTAAATCTCTATTCACAGATGACATGATCTTATATATAGAAAATCCTAAGGTATCCACTAAAGGGTTAGAACTAACAAAGGAGTTCAGCAAGATTGGAAGATACAAGATCAATACATAAAAATCAATTATATTTCTCAGAGAACTGGTTGTTGTCAGAGGGGAAGTAAGTGGAGAGATGGGTAAAACAGATAAAGGGGACTAAGATATACAAACTTCCAGTTATAAAATAAGTAAGGCACAAAGATTTTGAAAAGTACAGCATATGGAATATGGTCAATAATACTGTAATAACGTTGTTTGGTGACAGATGGTGACTACACTTATCATGGTGAGCACTGAAAATGTATAGGACTGTTGAATCAATATGTTGTACACCTGAAATTAATACAACATTGTATGTTAATTATACTTCAGTTTTAAAAAAATGAAAAATCAATTGTCTCTCTATACACTAACTGAAAATGAAACTATGAAAACAATTCTATTTACAATAGCACCAAAAAGAATAAAACATTTAGGAATAAATAACGAAAGTACAAAACATAAACTCTGAAAACGGTAAGGCATCGTTGAAAGAAATTAAGACCTAAATAAATGGAAAAACATCGCATGTTCATGGTTCAGAAGACTTAATATTTAAGATGTCACTACTCCCCAAACTGAGGGTGCCTGGGTGGCTCTGTTGGTTAGGCGTCTGCTTTTGGCTTAGGTCATGATCCCAGGGTCCTGGGATCGAGTCCCACATCGGGCTCTCTGCTCGGCAGGAAGCCTGCTTCTCCCTCTCCCACTCCCCCTGCTTGTGTTCCCTCTCTCAGTGTCTCTCTCTCTGTCAAATAAATAAATAAAATCTTTAAAAAAAATAAAAGTCTTTTCAGCAAGTGGTGCTTGAACAACTGGATATCCACATACAAAAAAATAAAGTTTTATATATATGATACATGAAAATTAGCTCTAAATTGATCATAAACCCAAATGGAAGAGCTAAAACAATAAAACTCTTAGAAGAAAACAGAGTTCATCTTTGTGACCTTGGGTTGGGCAAAACGTTCTTAGATACAACACCAAAAACATAAGAGACAAAAGAAAATACAGGTAAATTGCACTTCATCAGAATTGAAAATTTTTGTACTTCACGTGATACCATAAAGTAAAAAGACATCCCACAGAAGGGGAAAAAATATTTGCAAGTCATTTATCTGATAAGGGGCTAGTTAGTATCCAGAATGTATGAAGAACTTTTAACTTCTCAAGAATAAAAAGACAACCCAATTTTTAAGTGGGCAAAGGATTTGGAATAGACATTTCTTCAAAGACGATATGCCAATGC